CGGAGGAGGCCTAATCTGTGGGATCTAATCGGTCTATTGGAGGTAATTGGCAGCAGGCGGTCTCTCAAGTACCCAGGTCCAATACCATGAAGGGGATGCCACGAGGATGCCGAGAAGGGGCTTATGGTCCGTGAGGAGGGTGAACGGAAGGCTAGGCATCTTTTTACCACTTAATGGCATTTCTACAGTAGGGTGAATAAAAGCCAGAATCAGACCCAATGCCTCTATTCACCAGTATTCAATCTTCTCTTCTCTGTCTCTGTCTCTGTCTCTCTGTCTGTCTGTTTCTCTTTTGCCATTTTTCCTCTTTCTCTCTCTCTGTTTCTCTCTCTCTCTCTCTCTCCTCTCTCCCTGCCTCTCTCTCACACACAAACACACCAGTGGTTGGTTTCCATTTTTTTTTTTACTACCGGTTCACTCGCTTGCATCCGGAAGCATCCTGGCAGGTGGTCGAAGCCTCCCGCTGCTGCCATTACCTATTCACCCAATCCAGGCCAAAGAGGAAGCAACCCACCTCACTCACTCATTCACATGCACTCACACACACACCACACCTTGGAAAGCGCCAATTCCATCAGCTCAATCTTGTCAAAGTCTCCTCTTCTCAATATCTTGGTGGAATGGCTTTAAAACGTCTTTTTTGGTGTCAGCTTCAATGGCCTGGAGGTGGAGCTCTCGCCTCACAATTAGGAGGTTGTGAGTTTGATCCTAGGTAGAGGCAGATTTAGGGTTTCCTGCTTGGGTAGGGGGTTGGATTAGATGACCTGCAAGGTCCCTTCCAACTCTGTTAATCTGTTGCTTCAAGGCATGTATTTACAGGCAGTAGGAAGTGTCAAATGGCACACCCAATGTTTATCAGATACTCATCTGTGGATTAGGGCAATTTATACTTCCCAATCCTTCATAAAGCAGTTTAAACACAACAGGAACAGAGCAAGTCTGTAAGGAACACCAAAAGTGATTGGAGCTCAAATTTCAGCAGACCAATAACAGAATATAAAGAACAACATCCAGCGCGTATCTTGTCTCCTCTGGACTCTCAACAATGGTGGGGTAACAAAAATCCTGATCCACCCCATGTCATACAAATGGAAATAAAACAATTAGTGTGCTTGATCCATTGATTACAGTTTGCAAAAAATCTGAGCAGTTACTATGAGGAAAAGCTTTCAGTTCCAAACCACCATTCCTATGTAACCTTTAAAAGTCATGAATTGCGAAGGTGAAATTATAGTATGTTAGCAGCCATATTGATTTCTTCCCAAAAGTTGTCATTCAGGTTTATGTGGGAGTGGATGGAAGAACACAAAAATCAAAACAAAGCATATGTACAAGCTTCAGCAACAAAAATGTTCCAAAAATTGAACCACTTACGAAGCTTAAATTTTATTTCATCAGTTGTTTCCAAAGCAGCAATTCTTAATTCTTTTAATGACTCCTTTGCTATCAGCTATTCATTATTGATCTGTGTGGCGTCAACATTCTGGTCCAGAGGAAATACTTTATTTCAATTTTTAGACCTAATAAACTAGAAAGCACAATTTATCTATTTATTGTGCCTTAATTAAATAAAAATCATAATCAGCAGTCTTACATGATTTCAGCCCCAGGATACTATATCTGTGGAGAGATATGTTGGGGTTTTTACAAAGCTTTCTGGGGGCATTGCAGATAAAGCATCTTTAAGGGCGCAGCGGTGAGCCATGGTCACTCATGGAAGTTGAGGGAATGAATCAACCTTTTGAATTATTGCTTGCTAGAAAAAAGAAAGAAAAATAGGTTTGATTATTATAGACTTCATAGCCAAAGTTGCTTTCTTGCTATAAGTAGGGGTGGACTGAGGGTAGAGGGTTCGCAGGGGTTCTGGAGAACCTCTAGCTATGATTCTATGCAGTTTGGAGAATCTCCAAATCTCACTCTTGGCTGGACCCACCCACCCCCTCCCCCCTCCCAGGAGTCCCCATGTGGCCTGTTTTGGATGCAGGTAAATGCAGGGCCCACTCCAGGTGTGGGTCCCAGCTTCTGTTAATGTCAGTTTGCCCAGGGATGCACTTCATGCATGGGCACACTTGATGTGCACATCGTTAGGCAGCTTTAAGTCATCCGAAGCGTCATTGTTAAAGTTCCCACAAGGGGCGCATAACTTTCCTGCCAGGTTGCTGGTGACCTTCACGGTTATTTCGCCATTGGGATTGTAGAAAATTTGGAAGCATAAAACAAGATGGTGCCACCTATGGCGCTGCTGATAGAACTGGTTCGGGGGAATGGCCGGCTGAGTTATTACCTACTTGGCCAAACTGGTTTGAATCAGTAGGAACTCACCTCTGGACGGAAGCTC